GAGCTTTAAAGAGCAATTTCCTTGCTATTCAGAAGAGAGCTCCTTTGCTTCAAGTCACTGCCAAGCAATTAGGGCCCAGCATCAATCCCTGCTCAGACGTGCCACATGGAGGAACAGAGGCCACTACTACTTCCCCACCAGTTTACTGAAAACGTCATAGATCTCTGGCTTCTCTTGTGCAAACTGTTCTGCTGTGTTCTTCTGCAACCAGTCAGATGAGCGCATCTGCTGCTGCAGGAGGCCAATGAGGTCACCAAGATTAGAGCCACCAGCACAGCCTGGTTCCTGATGACGGGACACAAAGATGACTTCATCTGTGCTGTCTGCTTTACCCTCTTGGTCTGATTGGCAGGGCTGATCCCTTTCCTCAGCCAATATCTCACGTTCTCGCTCTTCCAGGACCTTACGAATCCGTTGCATGCCTGGAGTGGTTAAAGGGCATAAACAACCATGGATTGGGACAAAGTTGCAAGAGTCTCAAAATCCCAGCTGGGTCTACATAGACTTAAGATATGAGAGAGAAGAGAAATGGAAAAGGCCAGGGTTACAGAGTAGCTTGGAAAGGGGGAAAGAGGTAGGGAAGAAGGACTAAAGCTGGAAAGGCTGGGGAAGGATAGGGGATGGGAAGCACTACTCACCTAACTGAAGTCGGTGCGTCTTGTCAGCAAAGATGATGCGGAACCAGCCGGGCTCACTACACTCAAAGGCTTTGCCACAGGACAGCAGGACTTTGTTATCGAGAAAGCGTCGCCAAAGCAGCATCTCCTCCTCAAATGTTCCTGTCCTAAGGTACTGGGAGCAGCAGTACAGACAGGCAAGAGGTTGGTAACATGCAAGGCTCAGTGATCCTCACAGGCTGTGATCCCCACAGAGTTTGGGGAAATGGGGTTGGGGGAGGGGCTTGGGGCTGGGAAGTAGCTGAAAACCCTGGGAACTGTAGCTATGGTAGGATAGGGGTGAGGAGAAGGAAACACCTTCAGATACATAAGGTCACAGCAAGAATGAAAGGATATCTATAAAAGGGTCCTTTGAGGGGTAATTACCAGAAAACTTACATATCTCCTTTCCACTCATCAGGAGGATGACATATTAATACATTTGTTACAATTCCAAATTCTACTCCATGATCCATGGTGCATGCATCTGGCTCAGCCTCAAGAGTAGCCTCCCTTCCTGAGACTACTGACCTTTCGAAAATCAATCCAGACAAAGAAGCCTGCATTGCGGTTGAGGAAGGGAACTCCAAGGGTCTTCAGTTCATCTGTCACATAGGTATGGGCAGCTTTTAGGCGAGCATGATTGGCCCGCAGATACACTTGATTGATCCAGTCTAGCAAGGGGGAGAAGACAGAGGAATTTTACAAACTAATCAAGAATTCAATTCCACAATGGTTTCAGCCCTTATCATCTGATAAGAGGATTGGGATCAATAACATCTCTATCCCTTCTCACCCCATCCCCTTCTTTCCTCACCCTCACTTCTATCTCCTCTGCAGAATGGCAGAAACACTCTTCAAAAGGTTGGTGTCCATGCTGATCATCATACCCTTTCACCTCCCTGTGGGAAGTGCCCTAGGCACCACAGATTCTGGGTTGCTGAGCAGAGCAAAGCTAAAGATCTGACTCAGTTTCTCTCTTCCCACACACTTACACCCCTTTGTTTCTGCTCAACAGACCATGCACAACAGTGACCATTGCTGTGCAAATAGTCATCTCACTTGTCCAACCTGTTACTTTAACTCTGCTTGCTATAAACCCTTAGAGTTGTCAGCCACATCTTATATGCAGCCCAAGGGTTAAGGCAGGCTGTTAAGTCACCTGTTCCAGGCTACAGATTCCTTGGAAACATAGGGACCAGATCCTCTGAAGTCCTGAGATAACAAAGAATGGTAGATGATCACATGTGAAACCACTGATTCACCTCTGTCTCTGAGCAGCTGTGCAATTTTGTGCTGGACAGGCCCACAAACTCCATGGAAATAACACAATGAGGCGACAGCATTGGCGACATCTTGGTTCTCCGTGTACAAAGTGCCAAACCGAATTCCAGAGACAGCAAAATCCTGCCAGAAGCACAAGCACAGATTACATTACTACAAATAAATGTTGGAGTGCCAGTACCATCACCTTGCTCTTTTCAATCTGGGGTCAAGGCCTCAGGAGATACCAGGCCAACTGTACAGTTATGTTAGATGTAGCCTACCTAGTACATAGTACTCACCTTGCTTATGCCCCACATCACGTGAGTCCTCAGTGGATCAGGCAATCTGCAAGTAAAAGGGTACATGAGGATAGTTAGAGTCACAGGTGCTCAAGTTTTTAGATCAGCAGTGCAACATTCCAGAAACAATAAAGCAACATTTCATTAGGCCCAACAATGCAGCAGGAAACATGGGTCAAGTAGCACAAAACCACATGCTATCTACCATATTTGCCCAAATCCAAGATGACCTCCCAACAAATAGATTCTATACAGGGAAAATGATTAATTTGTTATAATTTTCCAAGTATATAATACAGTGATTGGAGGATCATCTTAAAGTCCTCCCCCCACACTGCTGCAACAGGGAAAGAAGCCCCATCTCCCCTTCCATGCCCCTCCACTACTTGCTGCCCCTGCTGCCTGCCCCCCCTACCATTTGCCCCCCCACGCACCTCCCAGAGATTTCCCCTCAGCCACTTACCCTGAAGTGGCTCTGTCTATCCAACAGTGGCAGCAGGTATGGCCTCAGCCACAGAAGGCAGTGGCTGTGGGTCACAGCCAGAGCTGCAGCAGCTCCTCTGCCACTGTACCATTTCCCCCATGCTTCCCTCTTTTGCTCTTCCCCTGCCATCTTCCCCCTCCCCCATCACCACAGCCTCCCTTGGACTCCCCCCACAACATGAGCCACCCTGGCCCCAGCCTCATGGCAGCTGCCTGCCCTGGGTCAGTAGTTAAATCCAAGAAAAGGGGGTTTATTCCCCATGTTGAATATGAAGGGGAAAAAAAGTATCTTATTTTCAAGTAAATACAGTATTTTTAAAGCCACTACAGGAACTAGTTTTAGACATTTTTCAATACTTAACAGCTACGTTTTGTTGCAGATCATGGACAAAATTGCTAGAGAAGCATATACAAATCTGCACACTCAATTCTAGAAATCAGGGCCCTGATGTTAGACAAAATAAAATTAATTTCTTCATTATTGTCTTAGCATTTCAATGAAGACATTTTCCGGGCAGAATTTAAGACATTCTCTTGCAAAAATGTTGTGAACTCAAATTTAGTAACTTTGGGCTAACATGAGACAGTAAAACTGAGTAACTGACTTCCACTATCCATGCAAGTAAAACATAATAAAGAAACAAAATAAATGGAGTATAAGAAGATCTTTTAAAAATGTCTGTTCAATATTCAGCTAAGCTATTAAACAACATTTGTAAGAATTTTTTTTTAAAATGAGCTTTGTAACAACTGTCTCACTTTTATCCTGTATTTAATAAAGCAAATTCCTAGTTCTGGAGTAATGCTGTGATTCTGCTGTTGTGAAATCTGATGGTTTAAACCAGATTCAAAAAGGGACTGGACAAATTCTTGGAGGAAAGATGCATCTGTAGTTATTGAACACAGGAGTTCAGGGTACAGCCTCTGGAGGCAGCAATTGAGAGGGGAGCATGGGAAAAAACCTGATCATACTCTGTTCACTCTTCTTTTCAGCATCCATTTTCTGCCACTGTGTGACACAGGATACTGCAAGATGGACCTGTAACCTGACCCAGGAAATGGCAGTTCTCTTATAATAAGTAAGCAATGCTAAACACCAGCCTTTACATATACCTATAGAACCAATGGGATGGGACACCAGTGTTTAGAAAAGAAAAAAGGCAACACGCAGCAGAAAAAATGAGCTTCCTTTTCAACCTTTTGGAAGAGTCACAAACAATGGACTAAAACACACATTTAAAAGTATTTCCAGATAGAATAGTTAAGATTGCTCTTCTCTGGCAACCTTCAAACCATACAGACTAGATGGACCTGCAAAGCAATCATATGAGATGGACCCAGTACCTGCTGGGTCACAACTTGAATCTTAGGCATAAACCCCAACAATGGCAGCAAGTTGCACTCTTGTCGACAGGTGGCTAGGGAAGTAGAACTGGCTTTACCTGTCCATCCCTAGAACACTGTGGAAAGTGGCTGATTCATCAAAAACTGACAGCATGTAGATCTCATCTACTACTACATGCAACTCATGCCTGAAATAAAAAAAAGAGAGATTATGAGACTACAATACCACAAGTTTGGGTCTGAAAAATCAGAGGTAGATTCAAAATTCTGGGGAGACTTGCTTTCTACAAATAATGGGGCATCAAAATTTTGCCCAATCAAGGGGCAGAGAGGCACGTTCTCAGAAATTTAAGGGCCATGTAATGTATGCATAATATTGGAGCAAGACCTACACAGCTCATTTAATCTCTCTCACCAAAATTATGTCAATTTCAGTAATTTCAAATTCAGACTTAGGTAACTTAAAACTAATTGTTATCATCACTTGAATAAGCTATAACATGATCCACCTAGAAAAGATAGGAAGTTAGAGGGGAGAAGCTGATTCATGTGAAAGATGGAATTTCACCTCTCTCTGCTTCCCAATTTGTATGTACAAAACAGTTGTGGGGGAGCTAACTCAATTTCCTACAACAGCTGGTGTATCTCACCATATTCCTATGAGTACCTGACAGATTTAGTAAATTAATGCTCTTCATGGATGACTAGGACTGACAAACAGGTATGACCAACACCCCTTTACAAAACAGCTTAGCCAACCCAGGGATGATGAAATGGCTACATGGTGTGCCATCCCTCCTCCCATTCTTCAGTCTTCAACTCTTTCCTCTGTGAATCATAACAGATGTTTTTTCTGGTATACAGGATATTCAGAGCCAAACAGGTTGACTAGTACACCTGACTTGGAAAACTACCTATGACCTAGGTCTCCTCAACCCTTCAAGCTGACGCACCTTTTCGCAAAGTCCAGATAGTCACGGAGCTCTGAAAGTGAGTAGATATCACCTAGAGGATTTTGGGGATTCAGGAGAATTAAGGCCTTTACAGCAATGCCCTATAAAACAACCACCAACACAATATTAGAACACTTTGTTGTAAATTTTCAGCCCCCCTTTTCCTAACATAGCAAGACTCCTATTCATTTCACAAGAACTCACACCTCCACCATGCACAACAATGTATCTCACCCCAATGACCCGATCTGACCATGCATAAGAGGGCTGTGTGAAATTTCACCAACTGTTTTGTTTCGAAGCTGTTTCAACATGTTTCAAGCTCGAAACAGCAAATTTGAAACGAAACAAAATGCATCGAAACAGCTTCAAAACTAAATGGGGGCACTCAAACCGTTTCAAAACGTTTTGAGTTTTGAACCAGCCTGGTGGTGGGAGACAGGGGAGAGCTAGGGCTGCACTCCGACCTGCTCCGCAGCCCCATGTAGCTCAGCCCAGCAGGGAGCTCAGCCCTGGCTCTCCTCACCTCCCACTTGCCAAGCTGTGCTCCGATCGGCTGGCTCCATGGGACTGGTGGAGCCAATCAGACGGCAGTGCCGGCTCTGTCCACCTCCTGCCACCAGGCTGCACTCTGTGGGGCTGGCAGAGCTGATCGGAGCTCAGCGTCAGCTCTGTCGCCTCGCACTGCTGGGCTGCGCTCCAGTTGGCTCCGCCAGCCCCATAGAGCTCAGCCCGGAGGCAGGAGGCAGAGAGCAGCCTGGCAGTGGGAAACAGACAGAGCCAGCACCACGCTCCAATCGGCTCCGCCAGCCCCATGGAGCTCAGCCCAGCAGTGGGAGGCAGACAGAGCCTGCGCTGCACTCTGCCTCCCACTGCCAGGCTGAGCTCCATGGGGCTGGTGGATCCGATTGGGGCACAGATTGGTGGCGGAAGGCAGGCAGAGCTGGGACTGCGCTCCACCTCCCACTGCCGGGCTGAGCTCCATGGAGCCCAGTGCTGGGCACTGGCTACGCCCAGCGCCAGTCCCAGGTGGCAGTGGCAGCCTCCTGTTATTCAGGGCAGATCCTGGGGCCCACACCCCGGGAAGAGTCCGGCACAGCCCTGCAGCCCTCCCGGGGTTGCGGGCCCCTGGATCTGTGCCCAGATGACAGGAGGCTGCCGTTGATGCCTGGAGCCAGTGGCAGTATCCATCTTCCCCAGCGCTGGGTGCGGGATGTACTCAGTGCCAGTTCCAGGCAGCAGTGGCAGCCTCCTGTCATCCGGTGCAGATCCGAGGGTCCACACGCCCGGGAGGTGTCCAGCAGCCCTCCCAGGAGTGCGAGCCCCCAGATCTGCATCCTGGATGAGAGGAGGCTCAGACTGCCTCTCCAACCTGAGACCAGCACCGGACAAGATTGCTACTGCCGCAGCTTGAGCCTTCTCTCATCTGGGGCACAGATCTGGGGGCCTGCACCCCGAGGAGGGCTGCTAGGCTGTGCCAGACTCCTCCCAGGGGTGCAAGCCCCCAGATCGGTGCATCAGATGAGAGGAGGCTGCCACTGCTGCCTGGGACTGGTGGCAGCAGCAATTTTCTGTGGTGCTGGGTGCAACATGTGCCCAGCACCAATCCCAGGCAGCAGCAGCAGCCTCCTCTCATCTGGCACATATCTGAGGGCCTGCACACTTAGGAGGAGTCTGGCACAGCCCCGCAGCCCTCCCAGGGGTGCAAGTCCCTGGATCTTTGTGCTGGATGACAGGAGGCTGCTGCTGCTGCTGGCAAATTTTGCTTTCAGACTTTGAGGCGCAGTTTCTGAGAAACCTCTATACCTATCTCCTTGAACTGTGGCAGGCTTCATGCCCCCAGAAGGGGCTACCATCCCAGCAATTTGCACCTAAATTAGGCAACAAATGACAACATTTTAGGCATTTTCATGATTCCCCATTATAGCCTATGGTCAAATGAGTTGAAACAGTGAAACAGTTTCAACAAAACTAAATGGAACAGTGCTTCGAAATGAAACAACACAACAAAATGAAACACTGCCCCTTCAAAACAGCAAAATGGACATCAAAATGAAATGATAACGTTTCACACAGCCCTATTTTGCATAACAATGTTTCTCACCCCAGTGACCCAATCTATAGGAGGAAAACTCAAGTAAGAGATATTTTAGCAGAAATGAAAAGAATCTTTAACTACCTAGCTTGCACAGTAATTCAGAATATGAAGGATGAAATATAAAATGGGCCTCTGGTTTTAAGAAGAGGGAAGCCATAATCCTCCCCACCCCCACCGCCTCCTGACAAAGATCCTCTTACACTTCCTCAGTATACAAAAGAATCTGTTGTATCTGGTATATGAGTTTAAGATAAATGGGAAGAAATCATTTGTGAAGGCAACTAGGAATGGGGTGGGCAAACCAGGACTCTAGATGTCTGTTCACAAACTGCTCAAATCCTAGAATGTGCCTTAACAGGGGGACACCAGAGTAGGTAACAACAGAGCAGAAGTACAAGTGGAGGGGTTCAGAACTTACAGGGAAAGCTTACCCAAAGCTCTTATCTCTCTCTTGTACCTTCGAAATATACACCACTTTCTCTAGCAAACACTCCTAAGAGGCCCAACAAAACTAGACTCAACCACACTTACCTCTGCCCGGGCATCCTGCAAAGCCTTTTCTAGCTTGTCCACTGTGAGTTGAAAAGGCCGAGTGTTTGTCCCAGTGATCTGAAAAGGACCCAAAAGATAAAAACAAGTGCTGTCTACAGAACATATTATGAACCATATTCTCTGCAAAATTTCCCGAACTAGAAAATACAGCAATTACTTAGCTTCCATCCTCCCATTCCAAGACAACAACAAGGAAATAGATAAAATCAAAGAAACCCTGCTAATGGATCACACAGAGATCTTCCTGTTATCCTCACCTAAATTAGGATAACCTTGAATCGGAAAGAAGGGAGTTTTGTTTCTGAAGCTTATTCTAAATTTGTTTGGGTTTTTTTGTTGCATCATTACTGCATGTTTCTGGGAGTGGGCAATCAGAGCATAAACCTGGAAGCCAGAATTCTAATCCCACCTTGGAATAGGTCTGTAATCCTCAGCAAGTGACTTAAAAAAATAGTTTCTTTAACCAGGAAATGGGATAATACCTGAAGGCTACCACCTAGGTCAAGGATCAGCAACCTTTTGTTTGCATGGGCTAGAGCCCTTGACTACAGGCTGCAAGATTTCACTCTTCCCCCCTCAGCCTCCTAGCAGCCTGCTGCCTACATATTGCTTTGCTGCAGATTCCTGGGCCATCTGCAGCAAGTTTAAGCTTAGGCATGCCCCAGAGCAGCAGGCTCTGTAGTGGAGGTGATGAGCACATGGTACAGCTCCATACCTTTGATCCCCTGTGCCAGACTGGACCTCTATGAGCCGGATCTAGCCTGTGGGCTGTGGGTTGCCAGCCCTTGGCCCAGGTTGTTCCGAGGACTCTTTTCAGAGCATGAAAGTACTGAGTCAAAGGTTTTAGTCAGGGAGTACTGTTACTGTGCCTTCCACCAATACGACGGGTGCACAGATAGAGATTTTTTGGGCCGATACCGACGGCCGATTTTTAAGGAGCCATATCAGCCAGTACCGATATGATTCCAATATGCAGCCGGGCAGCTTGGAAATGAGTGTTGGGCTGCTAAGTCTGTTGTGGGGGAAGGGTGGTGGGAGCATAATGAGGCCCCCATGGTGAGGGAAGAAGCAGGGCTGGGGCAGGTGTTGCTCAGCTGGGGTGGGGCACAGGATGGAGCCGCAAGCAGCTTGTCCAGGGCGCAAAGAGATGGTTCCCACCCTGCACGCACCACGGGAGGACATGGAGTCATGTGCCCCTGGATCTGCGCAGGATGAGGGCAGGCTGCCACTGCAGGCTGGGACCAGGGGCTGTGCTCAGGGTGGGTGGCGGTGGTGCTGGGACGGGGCTGGGGGGGAGCTGCAGCCACCCCAAAATTCGCTGGAGCCCCCCCATAGCATTGCCGCCGCCACTGCTCACCCCAAGCACGGTCCCAGCCCAGCCCCCTGCCGGGAAGAGCCTGACACAGCCCCAGCTCACAGCAACAGGCCACCATACCCCACGCTCAGATCCAGGGTCCAGAGGCTCGTGTCCCCCTCGTGCCTTCCCAGGGTGCACGCAGAGGTGGGAGCTGCCCCCCTAAACATGTCCCCCAAATGAGCCACTCACGGCTCAGTCCCACATCCCACCCCGGCTGTGCAGCGCCTGCCCCACTCCCTCCCTCACCACAGTGGCCTCAATCTGCACCCCCGCACACCCTTCCCTTGCTTCCCCCACAACAAGCTTACCAGCCAGATGCTGCTCTCCAAGCCACTGGGCTGCACTCCTGGCCACGCGCATGCTGCGGCTGTGCTCATGCACAGGGCATTTATCAGCCACGTTATCGACCACATCAGGCAAAAAAAGACGATTTTCGATACTGTCAGTTTTCCCTATATCAGTACCAATCCGATATGGAACCGATGTATCAGCGCACCTCTAACTGATACCAATTCTTTTTACTTGCAAAGCTGTGCATTCCCCACCCTCAATTCTTACCTTACTGTCTAAATAGGCATAGACCAGCTTGACATTGCCATACAGGAACACACTTTGGGTGACACCTCCATAAAAGGGTGTGGCAATCAAGACAGCTTCTAAAACCAAGAAAACAAACCAGTGAACTACAGTCAAAATCTTTTCTTCCTTACTAGGGCATGTTAGTGATATTTTGGCTCCCAGTTCCATGCTCTATGGTCACTGGAAATTTTTAAGTTAGTGTTTTTCTCCATCCTTTTTGCAAGTTTCTTTTGGATCCAGTGCAAGCACTGGATCAAGAAACATCTATTCTCAAGAACCGAACTCAGCATCAATACACTTTAGACCTACATCTAGACATGCATCCATCTTGAAACAATGGAGGAACTTAGGAGTAGATAGGTGAGAATGCAGGAGACCTATGTTCCCACTGAAGGGATGTGAATTTGATGGCAAAAACTGCTACAGATACATTCTTAGCTTCCTCTACAGTCATTGCACTGAAGAAGAGCAGTGTTTGGGAGAAGGCACAGGGTAATTAATGACAACTCTATCATTACACCTCTGGCATACAGTCCTTGTATTGTAGCTACCATGTTATCAATCAATATGTCTTCTAATAATCCCACTTACCCCCTGGATCACAGAGGACTGTAGCTAATGCAGAAAACAGAGAGCCGCAGCCATTCAGCACAATCACCTATAGAAGAAAGAGCGAGACAGATGCTAACTCTACTCATTGAAGGACATCACTACAAAAAAAACTTCTGATAAAGTCACTAAAATCTGCTCTCTCCTCAGTCCTCTAGCACAGAGGTTCCAAACTTTTTTGGCCCAATGGGAGCCTTGTAGGCCCAATTCCAGACCATAAGAAGCCCTGTGGGCCAGCAGGCTGCTTGTTTAACATCACAGCTCTAGTACAACAGAACTACCACACAGTCATGAGACTGAGGCTTTATCCTGAGGTGCATCAGCAGAACAGTGCTAGAGAATATAAGAAAAGAACAATCTGAGCATTCTCTAAGTCCAGACAGAGGTCAGGACTGGAGCAGGAAGTGTTACCACAAAGCATGGGTGAGGTACCTTGGCAGGATACAGTGGAGCTGGAGGGAAAGAACAAGGGAAGCTACGTGCTGGAAGTGAAGTCTATTAAGCAAGTTGTGTATGAAGAGCTGTTGGAATGTCTACAAGTCACCATACTGATAGCAGTGATCACACCCTTGTTTCCTTGGTAAACGAGTCAGTCAGCTAAAGTTTAAATATTTGTAAAACATAATAGACAAAACTGCTTCATAATGAATGGCAATATTTTAGAAGACACACCAACAGACATTCAGTTACCCACATTTTCTGCCTTAAGAGGTGCAGGGGCCTTGCAGTAGTAGGTCAAAAATCGAGCCACTTCCTCCCGTAAGCTGATAAAGACACAATAGCAAAGATTGGTTCAGGTTATTTTCCAAGAGACTGAGTTTTCCCAGATCATTCAGAAAATAAATCAGGACACATTGGACACTGGTGGCTACAGCTAGAAAATAGGACAGAATATAACTCAGGAAATTGGTACCATGCTCTAAAGCAGTGGTTCTCAACGTTTTTAGACTATGGAAAATAGAGCATTTTTTCAATTACAAAGAACTCAGAAACACTGCAACTGGTCAGAAAGTTCTTAACACTGTTACTTCCCGTTTTAAGTCTCTGGGTTTATCTTGTGAATCATGCTTGCCCACGTGGCATTGCTAACACTACGCGGCAGCCCTGAAAGATCTCAAGGCATCCTGGTTGAGACTCACAGCTCTAAGAGCACCTTGTATGCATGATAGAGAGGCACAGAAAACATCTACAGCTCTGCTCACACTTCTGAAGTTTGTTTACTCAAGACATAAATCATGGGAAGAATTAAAGGCCAAAAACATCCACTGTAGTTACAGAGAACTGTGTGGGACTTACCCATCTACTTAATACAAGCAATACTTTTTTGTTGTTTTTAAAAGCAAACTGCTATCTACTCAGATGCATCAAGAATTGTAACTGTCTCACAGGTAGAGATTTGGGAAGAAAAGGAAGAGGTATTAAATAAGTTTCAGCTGACCTATGCAACAAACTTGGTCTGTATTAATGGATTCTGATTAGCAGGTAAATATTTATAAAGGAAACTACTTACAACATATGTCCTTTCCAATCAGGATATTGCAGCAAGGGAGGCTCCATGAGGTTCATATCACTCTGTGTCAGCTATAAGAATAAGAAGGAAATAGCACAACCATTAAAATCAGAAACATAGGCACAGCTGAACAGACAGTACCCACATGTACGTGCACACCTAAACATACCCACCCCATACTGACTTCAG